CACCCTACCTCCAGTCTCCTCTATCCAGAACACTATGCACCATATTGTTCCTGTTGACCGAGAGTCAATTTTGACACCCACCCTCTGTTGTTCATGTCGTTGTTAAGTACCGTCGAGTCATAGACTCATAGCAACCCTATGACCAAGAAGTATAACTGAACACTTGTATAACTTTCATTGTTTCTCCAAGTTCATAGAGTTTCGGGAGGCAAGCCATTTCAGAAGTGGATGCCACTCCTGCTTCCAAGCTTGTTTTAATCGGGGAGTGCCACCAAACACTGTCTACCATGGGTAACCATTATCGCATTTGACACATCATTGTCACAGTGTTCAGCATCACAGCAACCACGAGTTACCTCTGTACAGCAAATGGACAGACCATTTCTAAGTGCTATACCACTTAGAAGAATGTTTGACCAAAAACAATTTAAACCAAGCCCGAGGGCCACAAATTAAAATCACCCACCTTTGGCTTGGTAGCATCACTTTCTATCCACCAGGCCCACAGAGTTCTCTCTATGTTGGTGGTGGTGTTGTTAAGTACTGTCGAGTCATAGACTGCCCAAAATGCTTGTCCATCTCCTCAGTGTCTCCCAGAGCCACTTGCCTCACACCTTCCTGCTGATACTGTCCCTCGAATGATCATCTCTGGCTTCAATTACTGTAAATACAACCTCATGGATTCCCTACCTGCATCCCATCTTTCTCCTCACATGACAATCCAGCACATACAATACAGTACATACAGTACTGGGGAACACCCCCCTGCTCCTGGAATAGTCCAACAATCTTTCCCAGGTCAGACCACGGGCTCAAAACAGAGATGAGCAGAGAAACCACAGGGTTTCCAAGTCTCTAAGTTGTTACAGAAACAGACTGTCACACTTTTCTCTCAACTGGAAGGTTTGAACCATGGATCTTGGCGTTAGCAGTCAAGAACTTCACATATAAATCCTTCTAATTTTAAACCAACTGTGGCCAAATTTTTTTCTCTCACACAGGTATTTTTGGGAATGACACTTTTGTGGGAGGGGGGGGTCAATGCTCCCAATTATCTCCACTTTCACGCAGATAAACAGCACTGGGTGTCTGCTATCCTCCAGGGACCTTGCTGGGCACTGTGGACACAGGAGCGGAGTGAGTCTGTCTTCAAGCTCACAGTGCCACATTTATGAGAGCACAAAGACAAGGCAGTGAGATTTGGGAAGTCTGGAGGTAAAGGATCCTTGGTCTTTCAGGATCATCACTGAGCGGTGATAAGAGTGGACACCTTGGCTGCTACCCCAGGCTGGTGATCTGTTTCTGAAAAATCAGTCACTGCAAATTTGACGGAGTACATGACAGACTTGGGCCACCACACACAAGTCAGGGTCCATTCAACGATGATGGGGCTTTGTGTTTTTATCTTTTTACATATTTTGGAGGGAACCAAAGACTTCTTTGAGAAAAAGATAAAACATTAAGTTCCCCTCTACTAGACATTCACGAAGCAGATCACTCTGTCTACAATGTAAAGCACTGGGTAACTAACACCAAATTAAGGATCTCTGCCTCACAGGGTGTGTCACCTGAGCTGAGCCTTGAAAGAAGAGTCCCTTTTCACCAAGTGGACAGACATGCCAGCTGGAGAAGGGCAGATCTGGCCAAGAGGGCAGCTTGACAAAGACAAGGAAATGAGGGGCAAAAAACCCAGAAAAACGAAACTCCTGTCTGACGCAGCTAGGTGCAGAGAGCAAAAAACTGATGCCTGCGAGAGGGGCTGGGCTTAGACTTTACAGGTGCTCCTTACACATGGCAAAACCACCGAAAGCTTCAAAGGGACAGACAGGATCAGATTGGCATTAAAAAAAAATATTCTCAGGATAGGTGGTGTGATAAATGGTATTGATCAGCTGTAATGAAATTAATAGAACAAAATGCATATGAATAATTGAATGAAAACTAATAAAAAACAAATTCATCATGATAGCAAACGTGTGTTGAGTAGTTTCCACATTATACACTGTCTCCACAGGTAGTTATATGAGGCTGGAAGGGTGGGGAGAGGGATCTAGAAAAACAGGAATCTATGCACAGCACATTTGATAACGAAATTTGTGCATCAGCGGAGGGGACTTGCTGATGAACTAGGGGTCTCTGGCCCAGAGTCCATTTGGGCGTGCCGGAATTGTAAAATACTGAAATGTTTGGCCATGTCTGTAGGCTGAGGGCTGGTGTGTTGTGAATCTCGGTTCCCGCTGGACCTGAGAACGGCCTCTCATGTCTTGAGGAGGGACACGTATGGAATGCTCTGGGCTCTGATGGCTTTCTTTCCTCCCCAAGTGTGTGTCAGCAGAGGGGACTTGCCAGGCAAATTGGGGATATCTGGCCCAGAGTCTGCCAGCATTTGTGGAATTGTAAAATACTGAAATGTTTGGCCACGTCTTCAGGCTAAGGGCTAGTGTGTGGTGGACAGTGTTTGGTGGAGCTCCTAGATTAAAACAAGCTTGGAAGCAGGAGTGGCATCCACTTCCAAAATAGCTTGTCTCCGGAAACCCTATGAACCTGGAGAAAGGATGAAAGGTATACAAGTGTTCAGGTCTTTCGTTCATAGGGTCACTATGAGTTGCCTACAAGTAAAGGGCACTTAACAAGAACCTAACAACATACCTACACAGAGAGCTCTGGTGGCTTAATGGTAAGGAGCTGCCTTGTAATCCCATACATAGTTCAAATCCACCAGCTGCTTCTTGGGAGATAGATGGACCATCTCCTCCTATGCAATTAATTGCCTCTGAAACGCCATTGAAGGGTCAGCTATGGGTTGGTCCCAACTCAACAGTAAACAACAACAACATGCATACATAGCAAATATGGAATTAAGTCATTTATTGAAACTTTCCTTTAAAAACATGCCATTTCACCTTTATCTTTAAGGAGCTCTGGTGATGTAGTGCACAGTGTGCTACACTGCTGACCAAAAGGTCAGCGGTTCAAATTCACCAGCTGTTCCAAGAGAAGCTGGGCATTTAGTCTTAGAACCCGATGGAGGGTTGCTCTTGGTCAGAACCTACCCATTGGTAGTGGGTATATCTTTATCCTTAGTTTAAGGATGCTACTGAGGCAGTGCTACTAGATGTGTGCAAAGTTTTTGAGTGGTTACTACCCTAAAGGTTGGTGGTTTGAATCCACCAAGTAGCTCTGCAGAAGAAAGGCCTGGTGGTCTGCTCTATGAAGATTGCAGCCCAGGAAACGCTACGGAGTGCTGAGGGTCAATGGAATAGCAGCTGGGAATAGCAAGAACAATTGTTGATTGCCATCGAGTTGAGCACGACTCATAGCAACCCTATGAACAAAAGGGCCTGAAGTCTTTTTATAACTAACATCATTTATCAAAGTTCATAGAGTTTTCAGAGGCAATAGAACAATAGAGGTGATAAAAATTCTTTAAACAATTCTGTTCTGTTGAACTGTGCATGCCAGTGACAGACACAGAGACGAGAAGCTCTGGAGAAGGTCATCTCGTGATGACCAATGACCGAGCTCCTCCTGGGCCCCCTGGGAGCTGTCATGCTGACCATCACTATCCCCGAGGTGGTGTCACCCTCGGGCCAGCGCTTCCTCTGCCTCTCCAGTGGGGGAAATGTGTTTTAGGTAAGCGCTGCAAATTGAAAACGAATGGACAAGTCAGCACTTTATTTACCCCTGAGAGAAATGAGCTGATCATTTTGCTTTGTTCTGCTATCCACGGTCCAGCTAGCTAATGGCAGGCACACAAAAATCAGAAAGCTGACGTTTTCAATTAAAGCTGGTGGACATCACACACCGAGAGTGTGGGGGAAAGCAAGTGAGTTCAGGATCGGGTTACTCCTGGGATTGTAACTGGGTTCTACGGTGAACCACAGATGATTGAAGTTTGGGTAACAGGGAAAAGCCGTTGTAGGGTGCCTTATAGCACCTAGTCCCACATCTGGGAGAGGAGAAGGGTGGTAGGCAGGAAGGGGCTCTGCGAAGCTTTCACAGGGTCAAGGTCAGAAGTTCCGGTCCATCTATGATTTGGGCTCTGTTCACACCCTCCCAGGGTTTCCAGGTGCTGAAAATAGTTCTAACCCTTCCCACCTTCCAGAGATGAGGCATTCTGTCTTTGGAGGCCACCCTCTACCCCGCCTCCTCCAGGGTCACTTCAAATAGGAAAAGCCACCCTTTCCTCCCAGGTCAGTACCCACATCCTGAGGGGCGCGCTGACTCTGCACAGGAAAATCCTTTTGCGATAGGGGCTGGGCGGGGGCCTCTTCAGTGACCTGCACCTGGAAGAAAACATCTGGCCTTTTCTCCCTCAGGAAAACCATGCTGTTGGGAAAGGCTTGAGCTAAGTGGGTCCGTAAGCTAAGGGGTCGGGGCGTTTCTCTAATCAGTTTTCTCAGCACCTCGGTCACCCCGCGAGCACCCAGGGCAGTGGTTCCGGCGGGACGCGCGCCCTTCTAGGTGAGAAAGTTGGGCTCAGGGTGGGGGAATCGGGGAGGTGTCCACCAGCCTGGAACAAAGTCAGAAACGGAAGCATGCCTTCACCTAGCGGACTTCTGGGAGACTTTGAAGGGCCGGGGATCCCAGCCTTGCTCCCCTCCTCTCCCCCTTCCACCCCATCCCGGACTCCAGGAGGCTCCGGGCTAAGAGGAGAAAGTCCCTGAAGGTCGTAACAAGTGCAAGAACACGCTGTCTCCAAAGGAGATGACAAAGGGACACCCTAAGTCCTCTCACTGATGGGAAGCAAGGAGAGAAGAGGTGGGGCGCCAGCAGGGCCCCCCGCACCAGGAGGTCTTCCACTTGTCTCCTCTCGAGGCGGGGCCACCACCTAGGACACCCAGGGTCTGGGCACCGACGGCCGACCCAGCCCCTCCGCTGCCCCGGGGTCCCAGCTTGGCCGGGGAGGCCCCTGCACCCCCGTCCCCGACCCTGGCTGCGCCGACTGGGCCCCCAGCTCCGGCGAGGTCCCCTCCGAGCGCCCCCTGCCCGCGGCTCACCCTCCGGTCTCGGCGCCCGAGTCCACGCAGTCATCCTCCTCGCCGCCGCCCGCTTTGGGGTCCATCGCGCGCGGGGGCCGCCTCCGAGGGTGCGCGACTCGCGGCCTCG